AATTACATTGCGGAAGTAAAGCGATGTCGTGGCACGATGTGTTGGTATGGATTTCAGATGAAAACTGCATGATGGTTTTCAAAAGAGGTGATTAGCATTGAGGTAAAGGTAAAAGAAGTCTTGAAAGAAGAGTTTTTACATGATTCGCGATGATAAAAGTTCAAATGTATTTTACCCAATAACGCAATTGACACGTTTTTTCTTGAGTAGCGTAAACTGATCGTGAATTCCGCTTTGCCCATGTTATATCGGGGAGGAATTGATTTTGAAAGAATTTTAGCTTTCAATCTAAAGACTGCGTCAATCGTCAAAGTATTCACTTACGAACAAAGGGGTGCTAATTTTACAAAATTGACTTGTATTGTTTATAAGCCGCTACCACACCGTGCGACTATGTCTATTGTTTACAAATTATAATCCACGACTGGCAGGATGCGTGTCGGTCGATACATAATTATAATAACAATCGGACAATAGTCCTGGTCCAGAAGCTAAGCTGCTGGTCGGGGACAGCATTGTATTGTATAACTGATATATCAAACTCACCCGTCTTGCTTGTTCACTTGCTCTTTCTTTTTTGATCTTGTTCAATTCAGCTAACAATTCTGCTGTGTCATCATCATCATCATCACTATCTGACAGGTCATCATCCTGCGAAATACACAACAAAATCAGTGATTCAGTTCGCCATACAATGCAAAAAAATCATTATCTTCCGGGGTTACACACAACAACAAATGATAAATGGTTATGACTACATATTATCATAGACCTTAGAAAACTAAGGTCTATGATATTATCTGCAACCTACACCTCACTTACATCATCATCTTCAATAGGATCGTCGGCATCTAGATTTGCAGCAGGTATTTGTTCAATGCGAGGACGTTTCGAACCCGCTGATGATTCTGAAATTTAAAAAATACAAAGTTGTAGATAACATTGTAAAAAGTTGCCTGATGTAGTTCTACTTGAGTAAATGTGCCACCAAATAGTTGTCAGCTTTATACTTTCTTAATATGAAAATATCTACCAAGTGATTTGATTCTTACCTCCCCTGCCTCGATCACCTCGCTTTTCTCTTGCTGCAGTTCTTTCCCTTTCATCAAGATCTTTACGGAAGTCACGGTCACGCAAATCATCAGCAGTGTTCTGTCCTGCTTGTCTGTAAACAATAACAATTGTGGAGTAAAATTTATACCAGGAGTTGTTGATCTTATTTGGTTATGAAACATTGAAAAAAAACTCAAATATTCAGGAAATACAAGCACCTAATTACACAAAGAACATAGAACAATTTCCCAGGGTTTTTAAAAACCAAAATCGTCATCCAATTCAGGAGCCAATAAGCAACGGCCTTACAGTTAGATGAAGATTTTGGTTTCAAAAACCTTGTTTCTATGTTCTTTCCATAATTAGGTGTTCGTCACAATCGTGTTTGTTTGTAATTTTGTTACCCCAACAGATGGTTTGGCTGTGAAAGTTTGGTATTTTTCCCCTGATGTGAAGGAGGCTGAAAAACACGTTTCTCAACTTTCAAATTGATCACATCTATTTTATTTATTTATTTATTTATTTATTTATTTAACACTTTATTTAAAGAGGGTAGGCCAATATACAATAAAGTAATTTTCATTGGGCCCTCTGTAGGGACAAAAAACACAATATACATATTATAGGCTTGAGCCATTTACAACAAATTTTTTCACTCAGATAAATTTTGTAGTTTCTTAAAAATGCCTAAAGAGGCCGAATTTCTGATATGGAATGGCAAGTTATTCCATAGGGTTACCCC